ATGAAGTTGACTGGGGAGTAGAACTTATTGATGTGCCTTTCTCATCAGAACACCGCGTATTGGCAGGTATAAAGTTGTCCACGGCACATTCAACTTTCGCTGATTTCTCTATGATTCTTTCTTATTTGGCTCATCTATTCATAACTTTCACAACTACAAACAATCATTCTAGTAAATACCTATAAATTTGTAACAAGTCACCAACCTCCGTCATTTTATTCTAGATAGTCAATATTCTATTCTACACAGTAAGTGACCACAAAATCCGTGACCGTATAGATGTGCCGGAACAGTTCGGTGTTCTCACCCTGAAATAGCCTGATTGCCTAAATCTGCCCCTTTTGGCATTCATTGGAATGGCTGCTCAGCCATTATATTAAATATATTACAAACAATTAGGGCATTTAGTTCAGTAAACTGCTTCTTGTAACTTTAATGATGCAGGATTTCTGCTACGAGAAATCAAAGACTTCTGGCGAGTTGCTTTATTGATATCTACTGTGATATATCCCACCAACAGAGATTTTACTCAAGAACTTTTAGATAAACAGATTTTACTCAAGAACTTTTAGATAAACAGTTTCAACTCGACAAGAGAAGAGAACTATTTAAGACAGTTGAGAATGCCATTACTGGACTAGGTATGAAAATTCATCTGTGTTATATGATTCATACTCCTAAGAATTTTTATCCTTCTGAGCACAGGTATAAAAATGTCAAATACTCATTATTTGCTATGTATATATTATAGACATAAGAAAACCCTAGTTTGTTTTATTTTGACTGGGAAGCTCCCCTGCATGTCCTTTTTAACAGAATGCCAACTCACACAACTCTGTGATTGGTTCAGTTCTTGTATAAATACTAACACAGATATGTGAATAAATAGAAAGAGATTCGGGAATGCTATCCCAAAACGGCATCTCCTGTAAACACTCTATGTTCCATTGTTGCTGGCTTCTTTAATCCTTATCATGGTATCAAAGCCGTGGTAATTGTATTAATCGAAACCTTGTCTCGATTGCCTGAAATTGAGAAAAGTACATAAGTTAGAAAATTTGCAATCGAGACGATGATGTCTCCAGAAGATCTGGCGAAGATCATTGCTGCGATCAACACTAAATCAACTGAGGATGATCCATATCATACTCATGGTTCGGAGGCGCCTGGATTCAGCCTTGTGAGTGTACCTTTGAGAGGACCAAATTATCTCTCTTGAAGCAGATCAGTTCAGATTGCTTTAAGAGCAAAGAACTTGGAGCAGATCAGTTCAGATTGCTTTAAGAGCAAAGAATAAGCTGGGTTTTGTTGATGGGAAGATTAAAGCACCTGAATCTGGGTCGGCCGATTATGATAAATGGTTGACTGTAGATAGTATGGTGGTTTCATGGTTGCTAAACGCCATGGCCAAAGATATATCTGATGCGTTTGTTTTCTGCAAAAACGCAAAAGCTTTATGGGATGAGTTAAAGCAACGATATGGTGAGAGTAATGGACCGATGATCTATCAAATTGAAAGGGAGATCGCCAGTTACAAGCAAGGAGATGATACTGTACAAGAGTATTATACAAAGCTTAAGAAGAAGTGGGATGAGCTTTTATGTTTAGCACCTTTACCAGTATGTTGTGAGGTTGGTACAACTATCACTGATTATGATAACAATCGTAGGCTTATGCAATTTTTGATGGGTTTAGGGGATGAATATGATAACGTGAAGAATCAAGTGTTGCTGCAAGATCCTCTTCCATCGATTAACAAAGCCTATTCCATGGTGATGAGTGTAGAGAAACAAAGGGAAGTACATCGATTAAAAAGCCCTAATTCCATGGTGATGAGGTTGTAGAGAAACAAAGGGAAGTACAAGACCAGCATAAATCAACATCCACGAAATGGCAGCAGTTTTATGAATGGCGAGGAAAAGGGTAAAGCAAGTAGTTTATTTTTTTTCCCAAAATAGAATAAAATTAAGAACAGTGGCGGAAATTCATAATACAAACACACCAGAAAAGGAGATAGGAAGAAGGAAGGTATTGCAAACCAACTGCAAAAAAAACCCAGGGAGGGGCCACAAAGATTTGATTGATTGCTTTAATTCTTATTTCATGAGGATAATCCTGACTGGTTTTTAAATTGAGTTACCCAGAAAAGAGTAAGGGGGGGTGGACGTGCCGCCAAGTATTTATGGCTGCTAATAATGTTTTTCACAGATTGCAAGAAGCAAGAGTCTCCATTAATACAAAACAACAATAGTATTGTCAGAACATCAGAAAGGAATGATGTACCCAATGCCCCTAATAACGTTGTCTTCTGATTATTTACAAGGCAAGAGTTCCCAAAAGTTTTCTCAGGTCCCAGGGGTGGTTTGCTGAGCAAAGATTGATGGGAATCCAAGGGTGGCTTTGCTGAGCAAGATGATAGGAATATCAGAAATGTGAACTTCGCAGGTACGTTACTTAATTCTGTTATTTTTGGCATTGATTTTAATTGCAAGGATAATTGGATAATTGATTCTGGAGCAACTGATCACATCACACCTAAGCTGTCCTTTTATGATTAAGCAATTGAGCTAAAACCACCTAAAACCATTCGGTTACCTGACAATTCTACCAGATCAGTGACACATATAGGGAATATAAAATTAAATGATCGAATAACTTTGTACAATGTCTTATATGTTCCTTCATTTAATTGCAATCTCATGTCCGTCAGTTTGGTCACTAGAACTTGCCGTTTGTCGGTCCACTCATTTCCTGAACATTGTGTATTCCAGGATTTACTGACTAAGAAGGTGTTGGGAGAAGGAAGGGTTATTGAAGACCTTTATTTTTTGACAAGTGATTCTTTTAATAAACGACAAAGTGATTCTTTTAAAAATAAACACAGTAAGTTTGTTTTTCCTAAACTGCTTAACTGTAATAATTCAACGATAGGCAATTTAGCAAATGCTGTGGCAATGCTGCCCGTTTGGGCATATAGCACATAAAAAGAAATTGAAACATGTTCCACTTGGAATTTCTCAAATATGATTATGGCGGGCTGAATTTGATTGGTGGTCACAAATTTTGTCCCATTGCAAAACCAACTCCCGTTTGCCGTTTAATTCCAACAGCCACAATTCACTACTGTGGATATTTTTTTATACTTCACTTCCCATGTTGGAATTTATGGGGCCTTAAATTCAGTTAAAAATCTGTCACTATTGTTGTATATTATGTTGACGATTGTTTTTGATTATGATTTCAGTCGGTTTTGCGCTGGACCCATATATGTTGAAAGTAAAAGGAATCCAGGTATTTGAACAGCTCTAAAGTATTATTTTTCAATATTTGTTCACAGCATTTAATGGCAAGACTATCAAAATAAATAACGAATCGGAATAATGGCACTGAAGTTTTCATTAAATTTTGGCCTTGCCAATTCTTATCAAAATTTTTTTTTTTTCAAGAAAAAAAGGGCACTTTTACATCAACGGTCTTCTTTGTTGTTCACCAACTCGCAGCCAAAACGGAGTTGTTGAAAGAAAAGCCATCGCACTCTTTTGAAATTGCCAGAAGCTTTAACTTTTAAATAAAATAATCAATCTGAGCTTACCACTTCCTTTTGGTCTGAAATATTGTTTGAAATTGCTACTTCATATTGCTAAATGTAGGTTACCCCTCCGAAAATCTTAATTGGGCAACAACGCTCTATGAAAGAATTACATGCAAAAATCTGTTGATTTATGTTATTTTCGAACTTGTGGTTTGTTTGTGTTTAATGCTCCCAGTACTTTAACCAACACAAGCGAAAAGTTTGCTTCCTCTGGCCCCCCTTTCTCCTTTGTGTTTTTAAAACCTTGGTTATGCTCCAGCAGCAAAAAAAGCATAATAAACCTTTAATAAATTGCACCACCAAAAGCTCTTTTTTTTTTTTTTTATTCCGAGTTTCTCGGGATTGTGGTTTTTTCCCTCCTTTTTTGATGTGTTTCCTTTTTTCCAAATCATTCTAAAACCTGAAACAAGTTAATCACTACAGATTTTGTTTTAACCTAAATGTATTAAACAGATTAGGGTGTCATATTTCCACTTTTTCCCCCTTCTAACTTGCTCCACTTTTCCCTCTACTGCTCCTTTACCGCTCGCTGACATAATATCACTGCCTCCTGATTTGGTTGAACATCCAGAAAGTGGTCCACCTGATATCATTCAACAGCCACATTTGACGGTTGAGGTTGGTTCTGGTAGTGATTCGATGGCTGAGGTTGCTCAAATATCCATTTTTCACTGATTCAAGATTATTGAACCTTGTAATTATAATCAAGCTAAAAATGACATTAATTGGGTAATTGCCATGCATAAGGAACTCACTGCATTAGAACAAAATAATACTTGGGTGCTCACTGATTTACCTCCTAATGTCACTCCTGATTTAACCCGTCCTAATGTCAACTCCCTATTGTTGTAAGTGGAATTTACAGGGTGAAGTAATAAATGCAGGAATGGCAGACATGCATAAGGAACTCACTGCATTAGAACAAAATAATACTTGGGTGCTCACTGATTTACCTCCTAATGTCACTCATATTGGTTGTAAGTGGATTTACAGGGTGAAGTATAATGCAGATGGCAGCATCGAACGCTACAAGGCTCGTCTTGTCGCCAAGGGGTATAACCAATTGCTTCTTAACCGTTGCAGCTGCTTTCACATGGCCCGTGCATCAACTTGATATCAACAACGCCTATTTACATGGGTTTCTTGATGAAGACATTTATATGCAGGTGCCGCCCGGTTATGAGAAAGCTATGCCTGAACAAGTTTGTAAGTTGCAACGGTCACTTTATGGGTTGAAGCAAGCTGGCCGCCAGTGGAACAAAGAATTGACTTCTAGTTTGCTCACACAGGGGTTTACTCAATCATCCTATGATCATTGTTTGTTTACTAAAGGTCAAGGTCCTGCCTTTTTGGCTATCTTGGTTTATGTTGATGATTGTCTTATTACAGGTCCTTCGATTGACTTGATTACTGCTTTGAAAGAATCCTTACATACCAAGTTCACTATCAAAGATCTTGGTCCTGCAAAGTATTTTTTGGGTATTGAAATTGTACCAAGTTCACTATTAAAGATCTTGGTTCTGCAAAGTATTTTTTGGGTATTGAAATTGCTCGATCCTCGGATGGTATGTTGTTAACGCAACATAAGTTTATTTCGAATATTGTGGCCGATACTGGTTTACAGGATGCCACAGCCATTTCTAGTCCTTATATTTAGGGGCTAAAACTTACAGCTGACATGGGCAATCCTCTTCCGGATCCTGAATGCTACCGCCGTCTTGTTGGTCGATTGTTATACCTGTCTCTTACTCGACCCGATATAAGTTTTGTTGTTCAGCAATTAAGTCAATTCCTGCAGGTTCCACACCAACAGCATTTTAAAGTAGCCTTGGCTGTTGTAAAATATTTGAAAGGCACAAGTCTTAAGGGTTTATTTCTGTCTGCCGCGAATGATTTCAAGCTTCGGGCATTCTCTGATGCCGATTGGGTAGCTTATGCTGACACAAGGAGGTCCGTTACAGGATTTTGTATTTTTTTGGGTACTTCGTTGGTCTCTTGGAAATCGAAGAAGCAGCCAACCGTCAGTCGTTCTTCTGCCGAATCTAGCCAACCGTCAGTCGTTCTTCTGCCGAATCTGAGTACAGGGCAATGGCATCCACTGTTTGTGAGCTACAATGGTTATCTTCATTGCTTACTGATTTTCATATTATTGTACCTATCTTTCCACTTGGCTTACTGAATTTTCATATAATTATTGTAACTTACCCCAATACCTTTGCCATTGTGAACAATAAAAGCAGCCATGCCACCATTGCTGCTAACCCGTTTTTTCAAAACGAAAGAACTAAAACCACATTGGATATTGAATTGTCACGGTGGTGCGCCCAACAAGTTTTCCAAACATGGTTTTTATGTTAAGCTACTCCACCTATCTCCCAAGTTCAACTTCAGTTAGCTGATTTGTTTTTTCAACGCAAGCCTTTATTTTTCCTAATCAAGCCAATTTCAGACTTTTTGTTTGTTTGGCAAGCTTGATTGGTTGATTTCCCCTCTCCAAAATCGCCAGCCCTTGAAGAGGGGGGGGGTGGTTAAAGTGGTAAAATATATTTGTATTTTTTGTTATGCCTGCACAAGGATGTTTAAGTTTTTAGGTCTAGACTCTTAAACCGAAATGCCAACCTCACCACAACTTTCTGTGAATTGGTTTCAAGTTCTTTATAATAAAAATACAAACAAAAGACAGATATGTGAAATAAACAGAAAAGAGATTCGGAATGCTTATCCCCAAAAAAACGACATCTTCCCGGTAAACCAAAATCTTTGTGTTTTCCATTGTTGCCTGGCTTCTTTAAATTCCTTATCATAACTCCTAAGAATTTTATTCCTTCCTGAGCAATAGGTATAAATGTTTATCCTTCTGAGCATAGGTATAAAAATGTCAAATACTCATTATTTGCTATGTATATATTATAGACATAAGAAAACCCTAGTTTGTTTTTTTTTGACTGGGAAGCTCCCCTACATGTCCTTTTTCCGATTGTGATGTTTTTATCATGATACAGGTCTTGAAAAAATTTGGGACGTAAAGCCATTGGTTAATGGCAAATATATTATCAGCGTTTTGCAGCTTAAATCAGGAGGACCTCTTGTTCGGGAATGGGTAAGGCATTCGTTCTTTCCCATAGTTGAGAGCTACTATAAAATTTCTTGATTCTTCTTTCCCATAGTTGAGAGCTACTATAAAATTTCTTGATTCTAATTTATTTCCTCTTTGCAGCAACAAAAATTGCTAGCTTGGCAACTTGCCCATCCCACAGGAACTGCAGAAGAATGCCTTGATTGGATGAATGAAACGCATTTAAAGCGCACCAAAATGGCGTAAACATCAATCTAATTCAATCTCTATTTAATATAAGACCTCATCTAATCTGACTGGAAGTTGCTTTTGCACGTTCCCCTGAGTTCCCATGAACATTCATGTAGCTTTGGGTAATAGACTGATGGAGAAATGATGGAAGAAAATGATTGGATGGAGAAATGATGGAAGACAGGTAGCACGAGAAAATTTCTCAAGTTTCGAGTAACAATTTTGTACAGATCTACAGATACGTACTTGACTATAGTTTTGAGATAGGAAACGCGGTTCAGGTAACTCATTTCTAGATTTTAAGTGAGCGAAGCTAAGATGCTTAGTTTTGAAACTTAGAGCAATAACTAGTGCAGTTGTGGGATTGGGCGACGAGAAGAGTGCCTTTATAGAAGGAAGGAGCGGTTTTATAAAACAGGAAACAGGAAACAGGAAAAAGGAAATGGTTTTGTTCAAAATAATAGCGGCGGGACCCAACGCCGCGGCGGGAACCCCAAACGCCGAGGTTGTTTGGGCCTTGTTGTTCGTCCCTGGAGAACTTAGGTAAATTGTGGGTACGAAAAATGTGTGCTTTCTCTCAGGGGAGAAAATTACAATAATCTCTTGTAATAAAAAAAAAAAAAGTTTTATTATTTATTTTTTGGTTTATTATTTATTTGGATTGAAAACGAACTCATACTAAACCCAATTTAGGTTAGCTTAGATTGTGTTAATATATTATATAATAACTTAAAACTTTTCTTTTAGAAATTAAAATTCAATTATTAATTATTAATTATTAATTTAGTGATCAATATATACTTCAAATTATGTAGATTATGATTTTATTAAAAATATATAAGGGGAAGATATTGTTGATGAAAAATTATTAATTTATTTATGAATTTTTGTAAAAAATTATATGTCAATTTTTAATTTTTCACTTTGATCTATTGAAACTCTCTATTTATAAAATTATATCTATTAAATATTTTATAAAATTATATCTATTAATATTTTTAAATTAATAAAATAAAATTATATCTATTAAATATTTTAATTAATAAAATTATTATATTAAATGCCCAACTTGTAATGAGCAAAGTCTTTCGAACAAAAATATTTGTTGAATAATTAAAAAATGTGAAAATTAGTTTTAGAAAATAATATTAATTAGGGGGTGAGCAAAACAACTAATCAAAATTACATATATTAGTTCAGCTCAGTAAACGCATTGAAAGGGAATTTTGTTTTATGGGTTAGTTAGTTTGAATTGAAATTATTAGTGATTCGACTTGATTTTACAAAAATTAACTGGTTAGACTTAAAATCGATTCCAAATGGTACAAATTGATCAAAATCGATTGGTTCAATATGGTTGAATTTAATATCAATTTTGGTTCGATTGCAATCAAACAAAATTCAAATTTAGATTTTTAACTTTGGTTTGGTTAGGTTTGAATCAAATGAACCATTTTCTCATCCCTAATATTAATTACACATCAAATCATTAATGCTAGTATATAAAAATATATAAAATTACTAAAATCAAAAGTATTTTGTTATAAACATTGACTATATAAAATTACTAAAATCAAAAGTATTTTGTTATAAACATTGACTATAGTTAATTGTTAAGAATCAGAAAATTGTATTTTAACTATGGGCTTTATGACCCACTTATTCTACTGTGTTTACACATGGAATCGTAAACATTTTGACTTGTTCATCTAACTGGTATATAGCTGTTAAATATTAGTTCATACAGTTGGTATTTTAACTGCTTTTGGGTTAATGTTCTTAAACGTCATGGAATTTGATGGAACCCATATAAGTTTAAAAATCTTATAATGATTCCTTTTCAATTGATCCTCAAGAAGAAGACTACAATTCCCATCTTGGATCGTTTTTGAATTTTCAATTTGAATCCTCTCTCAAGAAGAAGACTACAAATTTCCCCAATCTTGGGATTCCGTTTTTTTTTTGAAATCAGATTGTCTGGGTAATGTTGAAATTGGAAAATGTCCTTAACTGTGTACCATGATATGGGCCCATGCTTTTTAAAGAGAAGCCAACAGGCCTCAAGAAATCAACAAATCTCACAATAACAGTTCCCCATTTTGAGACTTAACAAATCTAGTCCTCAAGTTTAAATCTACGGTCAGAAAAAAAAAATAAGAAATCAAATTACCCTATCTAAAAATTCTTCTGTCAAGTGTCCTGTTTATTTTGTTTTATTTTGAAAAACATTTACATGGAAACAAACAGAGGAAATTGAACATCTTAATTTCGAGTATTTCATTATTTTGGCAACAGAAAGGAACAAAAAAAAAAAGCCTTTAAGACCAAAATACACAAACTGAAAGCCTTGCAACACAGGCATCAAACCAAACATCTTGAAATCACACGAAACTTGCAGGGACATTTCTTTCAACCAAAAACAGAGGATACCGAACAATACATTTGCGTATGCAAGGAAGGAAGCAATCTTGCTCATATCCATATGAACCCATCATTCAAATGCACAAATTCAGCATTTCCCAACACATTACTAACTGAATTGAATTGAATGTAGACAAGTTGAAAATACTAAATAATACTGAAAAGAAACAACACATATGTTTTGAAAAAATACTAAAATAATAAACTGGAAAAAGAAACAACACATATGTTTTTGAATCCAATACTTGATTTTTCCTTTAATTGAATCAACATGTAATTTTGATTTTACACCCAGAAAACCACCAATCATGTTCCCAATATTTTTTTTGAAAACAAACTAAAAAAAAAGAAAACCCACCAAAAAATGTTTTCCTCGTCATATCTTGCCAATTAAACAGCCAGCTCTATTGGCCAAGGGTTGTGGGAAAAACGAGGAAAGAGAGAAATGTAACAAGAGGCCTAAAAAACAGAACCAGAAACCAGGATCAGAATCAGAACCCCAAGAAAATTTTCTTTCGCCCACAGATCAGAATCAGACCCCAGAAATTTCTACATATCAGCAAAAAAATCCTCATTCTCATCGCCATAATCGATCTGATCAAATTCAAAGGTATTAGCATTATCCAGCAGCTCCTCAACACTAAATTCAGTATCCATTGGCTCATCGCGATCAGCGCCTACCGTCAAACATTCATCACCTCCAGGAGCCCAGATATCATTACATTCTGAGACAACGTGTTCAAGCTCGTCTACCTGATTATTAGCCCTAAGTTCAGTTCCCAATGGATAATCAAAATCGCTACCTATAACCCAATTCCCATAATCTCAATTCCCCATAATCTTCTCCGTTTCCTCTCATGAATACTACAATCTGATGTTTACTTTCTTTGTTGTTTTCTTTACTAAACTTTTGATTACCTATAACCCAATTCCCATAATCTCCGTTTGCTCTCATGATACTACAATCTGATGTTACTTCTTGTTGTTCTTCTACTTGATTATTAGCCCAAAATTCAGTACCCATTTGATCATCAAAATCAGAAGCTATAACCAAACAATCATCATCTCCATTAGCCCTAATCTGGTTATAGTAGGACTCCGCTTCATTGTCATTAGCCTTGATACGCTTATTGCCAGTAATAACCATCTCACAGTTTACAACTTCACCACCCTCACAATCATCTATTTTCCTCTTGCCCTTATTTTTTTCCCCTGTTTTAGACCCATTTTTCCTCAAACAACAGAGCACTAATTCACGGTTCAAATCAGGCAAACTATACTCAAACAAGATCCAACCGCAATGGTGGCTTGAATTTCTGTTTTTGTATTTGAACCTTTTCTTGGTTGCTTCTATCTTAATCCTACAATCAAAATCTGCCCTAGCCGTGACTTCAAAAATTTTCCCAGAATCTTCTCTATGCCAGTTACCCTACCAGTAACCAACACTTCGATCAACTCTAAAGAATAAAGTCAGTAATCAGCGTTTGTGTTCTTCTTCTGCGAGGCTTTCTTCTTTATTTCAGTGAAAAAGTAGAGATCCTTAACATCAGTTCTCTCGTCACCACCGAATCTCTTCCAGACTTCCCAGGGCTCTTCTCTTCCATATAATTGGCAGTCACTTACTATCATCCCCGCTGCCGCAAAAGGCTTTCCAGTGAGTTTCTTGTACAGATAGTGACCTGCTAACTCCTCATCGGTAGGATCGAACCGAAATCCAGGAAGCATGGTTGAATTCTAGTCTCCCGTTCTTGAATTTCCCTAGAAATTCTTGAATTTTCTCAGCTTTCTTCTTGAATTTTCTCAGCTTTCTCAGGGAAAAGTAGCGCAGAAGCCAAATAATAGAATAATAGTTTGGGAATCAAGCAAAAAGAGGGACAGGGAAAGCAATAAATAGCCTAATGGAGAGACCCGCGGGATGTTACCGTTAGAAGAAGATAAATTTGAAAAAATCTTAGTTTTATGAGTTATGCGTGTGGACAGATAATTTAAAATCTTTGTAATTGGGCTATCAGATAATTTAAATCTTTGTATTGGCTATATATAAATCTTTAAAAGTGTTTAACATTGTGTCTAACAATAAAAAAAACGCGTTGGTAGATATATTTATTTACTAATGAAAAAATGAAACTCTAATAATTTTAAATGAGTTGGATTTAAGTAAATTATTATTTAATTATTATGTAATATAAAATTCAAATAATCCATTAGTTCTGTAAGTAACCATAATCGAATATTATAGTGTTCAAACTCAGTTTAATTATTAGGTTAAAGCTACTCGAGTTTAAGTTTAAAACAATTAAAATGAAGTCAAACTCAAATTTTTTTGTTAGTCCAATCAAAATAGCTCATAAATAGTTTAGCTCACTTGCATCTCAATTAATTGGATACCTTGTACAAAAGACCAAGGTGATTAAGTTTTACTCCCTAATTAAAAGTATGTGATGTAGTGCAAGAAGTTAAGTTTCAACAATTGACGCTTTTGGAGGCAATTTTGTAGAAATGATGAAATGTATTTTGACAATTGAAGTTTCAAATTTTAATTTGACTCATTGAACAATTTAATTTATAAAAATTTCATACATTGAATGTTTATTTAACCACTTTCAATTATTTGATATGCGTTTAATAAGAGTGATTTTTTAAATTAAAATATCCAACAAATAAATTTTTATAAATTAAAGTTCGATGCATCCATTTTTATAGGAATTCAAGTCTTGAATCCAGCGATGAATCTTTATTTTGTTTTTGAGATATTGTGAATGCTAATGGATTGTATTTTCATTGTCTTACAAAATGTGAATTTGGTTGCGCTTAGATATAATGCTTTTACAGAATACCTTTACAACAGAATGTTTAATCTTTTCATTGAAGCTACCACCGTTATATAGTCATTCAAGCAACAGAGCTAGGAGGCCAAAAAAATAAATAAGGAAAAATTTACTATTTAGTCCTTGAGGTTTAAGTGAAACATTCGCAGTAAAAATGGTTGTTTCCCTTTGAGTGTTTGACTTTCATTAATTAGAAATCTCATCACTGCATTAAAAACACAAACAAAGGTAGGAACATTTTGGAGATTTCTGTGAAATAGTCGAATATTGTTAATAACCGTTAACATATAATAATAAAATATATTAAAATAATAATATTAGACTCCTAAATAAACTCTAACTAACAGATAATATAGGATTCGTAATCCTTATCTAGGATTCGTAAAACTCTAACTAACAGATAATATAGGATTCGTAATCCTTATCCTAACAAGACTATCCTAAATCCAATATATATACTCTAAATTTACCCTAAGGACGCGTTATTTCACAATTTACTACACCTCAAATTTTGAGAGCTTAACAATTGGTGCGGTGAGCGTGGAAGACACGTTTAAACCCTAAAAAATACCCACAGTTTTTCTCGATTCCTATGGCTAATGATTCTATTGAACGCCTCAAAATGGAATGCCAAGAAAACAACCATGGTGAGGCTAACCAACAACCCACATTCGCCCCTCCAACAACCACTGATCCCCAGGTAGTAGCTACTCTATTTCAGGCTTATTCGTTGTTTACCACTGTGCTGAAATGCCTCTTGGAGAACCCTCAGCCTATCGGCGAGCCAGTACCACCCACCAGGCCGACAAACCCTCCCCACCTATAACATAGCCTCCCTCCCACTTCGCCTAAATACTGAAGTCATTTAGTGTTTGATTGATACCATGAGGTGGAATAGGAGGTAGACCCTAGTGCGACTAACCCTAGCAGCCAAGAGATAAGTCACACTTAGTGTCATGGAGATAGGATTTTGCTATACCTATCCCCGCAGCACTTAGTCGCCTTTGGATGCTAGGACGAGCTAAGTAAGCCTTGGAGTTGTGTTGGAGCAAATGTGAGCTAAATAGAGAAGAGAACACAAGAGAGCTTCAAGAGAGCTTTTTAAAGAACTCCTTAATACTCAAATGCCTTTGTATTTGTTTGAATGAGGTTTGGATTGCTTTAACAGCGTGAAGTGAGGGGTGGTATTTATAGCCACTCTCCAGCCTCCTCAATGGACGGCTAAGAATGTTGGCCTACACAAATGAAGGTTCTAGATTAACAAAGAGAGTTCTAGAATTATGTAGAGATTACCAAAATATCTCTTTGGTGGAGTAGTGTAGAGAATTCTTGGAGTAGTGTAGAGAATTCTAGAAAATGGGCTTGGATAATAGAGGTTTGCCAAGCCTTGGTCCCTTATGGCAGCCCAATTTAAAGCCTTCCTTATAAATTGTAGAGGCTGCCTTGCATTTTTGCTTGCTTCTTGTGTGGGGCGTGACACCCTCCCCCACTCAATCTCGCGACGTCCTCGTCGCGCCATGAGCCTCGTGCTCTTTTATTTTGTCTTTGAACTACCAAAGAGTATCTTCATGCTCCCAACTAGCTTCGGACTTGGGCAAGTTCTTCCACTTGATCAAGTACTCACGCGTCGCCGCACTACTCATGAGTTGAGGATGCTGTCAACCTCCTTGTCAAATTTGATAATAGCAGCAGTTGGTGGTCGAGTAGACTCGCCCCTACTTGGATCCTTATCATTCGCATGATAAGGTTTTAGCATGCTCACGTGGAAGATATTACGAATCTTCCACTCGGGAGGCAGTTCAACTTGATAAGCGGCCTTCCCTACTCGTTTGATGATAGGGAATGGTCCCTCATATTTCTTCACAAGCCCTTTATGTACCTTTTGTAAGGACTTGAGCTGGTTAGGGCGGAGTTTGACGAGTACCTTGTCTCCTTTGGCGTACTTCTTCGGTCGCCTCTTGGTGTCGGCCCATTTCTTTATAAACCGAGCAACCTTATCGAGACAAGCAAGAGTCTCGTCAACTTCTTTATGCCATTCCCTCACAAACTTGTGAGGTTTATGGGTGCGATCCGATTGGTTGTTTTGTGAGGCACTAGCACTTTTGTTGGCTAGTTTCGCCTTGTGACTTGATACGTTGGTGGCAACATTGGCCTTCTTTAGTTCTCCCGTCTTTGGAGGAGACATGGCTGGCAGCTTAGCACTTGGCTCCAGCTCAATCTGGTGATCGGCTTCCTTTTTAGAATGAACCGTTTTTGGCGACTGTGGAGGCGTGATGTCTTTGGACTCCTCCAGCACCGTTTGGGCAGATTTCGGCAAACAGCACCGTTTGGGCAGATTTCGGCAAAACTTGCTTATGATTTGTCACTTCCTCGTCCTCGGAAGTGCCAAGGGATATGGCACCCAAATATCGTAGGGAACCCATATGGGCTTGGGGTTCCTTTGTCGCCTGTTTCTCCTTATTGCACTCGGCGACCATTGCATTCATTTCCTTTTTATAATCGGCGCGCATCGCATATATTGCATTCCTGTTGGGGCAATCTTTTGTCCAATGCGGCCCTCCACAGAGGAAGCAAGGTTTATAAGGTTTGAAATTAGGCTTCCTAAACTGCTTATCATGTCTTCCCTCGAGAGATTTGGACGAACCATCTTCCCTATGATGATGGTCCTTCCCCTGATCTTGTCTGTCTCTTCACTCTTGCTAGGAATGGGCTTATTGTTCTCGACTCGGGTGGAGTAGTCCGTCAGGGATTCAACCACGGCAATAGCATCATCATGGAGTAGTCCGTCAGGGATTCAACCACGGCAATAGCATCATCAAGTGTTTGCACGCTACGCCGCTCTAACTCCACCTTCGCCCACTCTCTTAGCCCATCTTTGAAGAAGAAGAGAGCATCTTTGTCGGACAAATCGTCAATCTCCAACATGAGGGTGGTGAACTCCTTAATGTAATCGGAGAGGCTACCTTTTTATTGTAGACGACGTAGTTTGCCCCTTGCTTCGGTATCCGCATTGTGAGGCACGAAATGCTTTCGCAATTCTAACTTGAATTGCTCCCATGTATGGATAGTAAGTGCCTTTTTCGCGCTCCGCATGCTTCCTTTGCCACCATAACTGAGCAGCATCCCGAAGGAATGTGGGGGCATTGCCAATCTTGGCGGCATCATCATTTACCCCCATGGCCTCAAAGTACTGGTCGAGGCCAAAGAGAAAGTTTTCCACCATTGAGGCGCTACGTGTACCGTCGTACGTCGTAGGCTTGGGTACCTTAAAACCATGTGCTACATGACTTGTGGTAGCACTGGTTGAAGCGGGACTACTCATTCGTTGGTGCATCCGGCATTCGAAACGGATAGCATCTACTTCACTATGTAGGGCACTAAGTTCAGATTCAGTGAATGTTCGTACCTTGGTTATCCTACCAGCAAGGGCTTGAAGCTCCTCTCGTAGGGATCTACCAAGCTCGGTGAACATGCATTTGGCGGCCCGAGTGATCTCTTCATTCTCCTGAACAACATTGTCGATTTGTTCGGAGAGTTCTCTCACAATAGCTTCTTGAGAAGACAAGGCTTGCTCAAGAGCTGCGATTCTCTGCTCCACATGATCCATGGGAGAGGTTCGTGCCTTAGACTTCCCCCTCTTAGGCCGAGTACGCACCGGCTCACAGCCTCAAACTGCCTTTGGCTGCTCGGGTTGTTGTTCCTTAGCAACAACCAATTGAGCTTCGTCGTTTGCCATTGATCAAGGCGAAGGGCTTGATACCTAGGACGAAACCTGCTCTGATACCACCTGTCACGGAGATAGGATTTTGCTATACCTATCCGCGCGGCACTTAGTCGCCTTTGTAACCTATCCGCGCGGCAACTTAGTCCGCCTTTGGATGCTTAGGACGAGCTAAGTAGCCTAGTAAGCCTTGGAGTTGTGTTGGAGCAAATGTGAGCTAAATAGAGAAGAGAACACAAGAGAGCTTGTAAGAACTCTTAATACTCAAATGCTTTGTATTTGCTTGAATGAGCTAGGATTGCTTTACAAGTGAAGTGAGGGGTGGTATTTATAGCCACTTCCACCTCCTCAATGGACGGCTAAGATGTTGCCTACACAAACGAACGGTCTAGATTACAAAGACAGTTCTAGAATTATGTAGAGATTACACAAAATATCTCCTTTGTGGAGTAGTGTAGAGAATTCTAGAAAATGGGCTTGGATAATAGAGGTTTGCCAAGCCTTGGTCCCTTATGGCAGCCCAATTTATAGCCTTCCTTATTCCTTATAAATTGTAGAGGCTGCCTTGCATTTTTGCTTGCTTCTTGTGTGGGGTGTGACACTTAGCCTGTCTTGGACGAAGCTAATATTCGGAATGTTGTCAAGGAATTGCTTTGGGAGTGTAGAGAGACACGAGAAATTAGTGCGCTCTCTATACGCTATTCATGATAACTATATATTTGTTGTTGGACTAATGAATGGCATTAACATTTCATTTTATGTCAGCTTGTCCTACAATATTAATACCAGTTCAGTTGAGGACTTTACTGAAAGAGGTTAAGATAGGCTTTTTATGCTGTTCTCTTTCGTTTATTGTTAAGTAAATTTGTTACGTCCTTTGCATAAAGCTTTCTCACTTATATTACCTTCTCTTTCAGCTTTCTCACTTATATTACCTTCTCTTTCCTTCATTGCAGGCATTGAAGATCTAAAGTTTGGAAAAATAGTTACTCCTTTACCTCCAAAAGCTACTTTTTTGGATGATCTGCTTAGAGTTCTTCGAGCTATTCGATTTGGTACTTCTGAATTTAGATTTTATTTGATTTTGTTGGGAATTTCATTTTTCTTTTTCCTTTTGGTGAAATTTGACTACACATAATTTTTTGGATAACACATGCAAGTTTCTCGCTCAGCATGTCTTGAAATAGCTCAGTGTCAAAACTTCCTTGCATTTTTTTGTATCTCTATTTTGTTTTCTTAGTGTCATGTAATGTCTTCAAGAAACATTCGAGTTTTATCCTTTCAATTGAATTATAAATTTACTATGAAATAAAACTCTACCAAACAATTAGAACTCATGTTGGTCCTTGGATTGGTGAAACATGTTGAACTTTGCAAATCTTCTAGGGCTTCATTTTAAGAAGTAAGATCAAACTTAAGTGATTTATCATTGCTCTGAAATTGCTATGCATATATGGGCAATAACTCAACTGCTGAAAACTTTTGAGTCCATGTCTATTATATAACCTGATCATGTCTTATAAAACACCTCAAATTTTTTCATATGCGCAGTCAGCTAGCGTGATTTTTCATATGCGCAGTCAGCTAGCGTGATCTTACAACCTAATATTTTTCTTCACTTCTATTGGTTCTTTTTGTCTTGCTTCTCTTTTTCCATTTCTATGTCTTACATGGCTAATTTCTGGTTATTTAGGTGCAAGGTTTGGATTCATACTTGATGAAGAACTCAAAGTAGCTGCTGCATGTGATGACATGAAAAATGCTTTTGCAGTGAAAATTAGCAAAGAGCACATTGGAACTGAAGTATGATAACCCTCTTGAATAGATGAATAGCATGTGCCTCAAAATATTTTTTGATGTCTGGCAAGACATTGACTTGCTTGTGAGGGACTTTTTTATATCCATTGTGTGCTATGATAGTAGTTTATTATTTATCTCGTTGCTGCTCTTCTGTGCAGGTTGATCTCATGATTTTTGGCAATCAACCTGTTAAAGCTATGACACATATTTCAGATTTGACATTATTCTGGGTTGTCTTTGGTTTTCCTCCTAAGGTTGAGCCAGCAGTGTCAGAAGGATGCCACAAGTATGATATGGTCCATGATATGCCACAAGTATGATATGGTCCATGATGTCATTGATAATTACATCTTATCTCTGTTTTATGTAAAATAAATCTGCTGCTAAACTAGTCCAAAATCCAAATTAGAGTTTGTTATATTATTTAGCAAGAGTTTAGGAATGATGAAGGCATGCATCAGTGTGATTATAATTTATCTTTCTCTAGTTAGGCATGGCTACCGGTTCATTTTGAACTGGAACTAAACCTTACTGTAGATGAACCGGAATCGGATCAGAACCGTCGGTTCAAAGTTTTGAACCAGAACCGATGGTTCAAGGGCCGGTTAAGGTTTATGTGAATGTTAAAATTTGAACTTGAATCGGCCCTGAGCCGGTGGTTCCGGTCCGGTTCGAACCGAAAATTTTCGGTTTGAACCGGAAAAATTTTCTATTTTTATTTTCAAAATAATAATCACTTAGCCTATTTTATACATTTCTAAAAGTCTCAATAATATTTTACTGCATGATATACTTAAGATTTTTTTTTTTTTTAAAAACACTTTCCTTTAAAAGTTAAAAATCTAAAAAGTAAAATGGAAAGAAAAGAGAGAAATATTTAGTCTAAACTTATATTGTTTTTAACTTTTTGTTTTACCCTTTTAAATTGTTTACTAAGTTTAAAATTACATTTTTTTGAAGCATTTTTCAAAATTTTCTTATAATTTATTTAATTAATAACATTTTTAATTAATAAACATTTAAACAAAATAAAGTGATAACTTATTTGATTATTTTGTAAAATTAATTAATTTTTATTCTTATATGAGATATGAGCATTCTAAAAATTTTTATTTAAAATAAAATTTACCAAAATTAAAATAAAATTTACCAATATTTTTTAAACTCATATTAATATTTTCGAAAAAAAGATGTAATGTTAGAACCGATTTTTTTTTTAAAAAAAAAATATATATCGCCGGAAATCGTGATCGGAACCGTCGGTTCATTGGAACTGTACCGAAACCGGCCGGCACTGAAACTAGACCAAAACCGGCGGTTCAAGGGTCGGTTCAGGTTCAACGTTTCAAAAATTTTGAACCATCGGTTCCATGAATCGGAACTAGTGGTTCAATGAACCGGCCATGCCTATCTCTAGTCCAGTAATTTGGTAGTCAAACATAGTGCGTTTTAAAAGTTTCCTCCTCTCTCCTGAAATTTTACCGCTTTGGAATTTGAAAATAGATGTAGCTTATTGAGCAAAGTAAACCCATTCATTCAATATCGTTTGAGAAATTTTGATATTTTGCATTTTTATTAAGAAATTTTTGTAGTATAATAGCAGCTGGAATGCATGCTTTTCATGAGATACTGATCCTGAGAGAATTCCTATACACTTTTGTAACACTTTTGCTAACCATCATTATTATTGGGCCTCTTTTAGAGAATGTCATTGTGGTTTACAGCAGCTTTTATTATATATATGTTTTTTTTTTTCCTACTCAACAGGATCCCTTTTACCCATTTTAAAGGCTCTGTGGTTTGTCTTACTTGGATGCTGCATGGAACCTTATTCAATCAATTGGGGTGTGCTTTCCTTCCACTGTGAGTTTGAGCCACGAATTTATTTCCCAAATCTTTTACTTTTAACCTTCTTCTGTTTGACATTATCTAAAGTAAGTTTCCATTTCCAATTTCTTTTTATGCATGTTTAGTGTGTTGTCTTTGGTTTTGAGTTATAAATACCGTCACATTTGCATTCTAGGATGAACAAAGGAGACTCTGTTTATATGCCGCGTTGTTTCTTCCATTCAGAAATGTTACATACAAGGATGAGAAGGGTAAAAAGGTATGGTCCTTGTTTCGTTTTCTTTATTTCTAGAAGCATGCAACCACTACAAAAAAAACGCACAATTGCGACCGATTTTTGCGACTGACTTAATTCGGTCGCAATTTTGCGACCGCTTTGCGACTTATAAGCCATCGGTCGCAAAATCGACCTAAATCGGTAGCAGTTTTGCGACCGATTTGCGACTTATAAGCCATCGGTCGCAAATTTTGGCGCTGAAAATTCCCGCGAGAATGGTTAATAATTTGCGACCTGTGTACTACGGATTTGCGACCGATGTGAGACTAAGTGATTTTCTGCAGTAAAATTTCGCGCGTAAAAAATGGGGCAAAGTTCTGAGACGATTGGAGACTAAATTGCGACTGATTTTTTGCGACCGATTTATTTAGTCGCAAATGGGTCGCAAATATTGTCCATAGTCAAACGATGTCGGCTCATTAAAAATTGCGACCGATAATTATAAAATTTGCAACCGATGTTTCGGTCGCAAAAGTTAGGGCTTTAAACGCCGCGCCCTCTCTTTTTTCTTTCTTCTTCTTTCTCTCTTCTCCTTCTCCTCTCCTCTCCCTCTCCTCTCCTCCGTCCGTAGCGCCGCTCCGGCCCCTCCTGACACCGTTTGACGCCGCCAGCCCCGCTCGCTTTGCACTCCGGTCACTCTGTTTCGAAACAATCTGAGGTTAGTTTTATTTTGCGATTAATTTTTCCAATTTTTTTTTTTTTTTTTCGATTTTATTTGTTTTATATTTTGTAATTAAGATAATAAATGGTTGATTTGTATATAGAGTATGCGAGTTACAATTTTTTTATATAGAGGTATTATTATTATTATTAATTATTATTATTATATATTATTATTAATTATTATTACTGATTCTTATTATTATTTCTCTATCAATTATTCTGTATTTATTGTTGTTGTTATTATTACTCAATATAATAATATTATATTATTATTATTGTGATTTGTTATTATTATTATATTATTATATAATATTATTTATTATTATTATTATTTATATTGTATTATATTATTATATTACTACTTGTTCATTATTATTATTATTATATTATTATTATTATTATTATTATTTATATTTATTAGGTATTATTAGTACTATTGGTTGTTGTTATGTAATATTATATAATGTTATTAATATTATTATTAATTGTGATGTTATTATATATTATTATTATTAGTAATTGTTATTGTTATTGTTGTTGTTATATTATTCATTAGTATTATTATTATTTATTATGTATTGTGTTGTTTGATTTAATTAGTTAATATTATTATTGTGGATGTTATTATTATTAGTAGTTGATGTTATTGTTATTGTTTTGTTGATTATTATGATTGTAGTAAATATTATTATTAGTATTAATTGTTGTTGATTATTAATATTATTATTATTAATGTTTATTATTATTTATTAATTGTGATTGTTAATTATTATTATTATTAATTAGTTATTATTGTTATTCGTTATTGTTGTTAATTATTTTGTTATTATTATTATTGGTATTATTATTACTGTTGTTGTTATTATTATTATTATTGTGAATGTACTTGTTATTATTATTATTAGTATTATTGTTAATAATGTTGTTGTTATTTTTTTGTTTTAATTTAACATATATATATGCAACTTAAATAAATTAAAAATTGAGAGTTTCAGTTAACAAAAAGCCGTAATTATATATTGTTACATATTTTATATAAAAAACGAAAAAAATTTAAAAATTGTTGCTATATATAAAATTAATAACCCTTAATATCCAAGCAAATAGATAAATATCATTTTATCATACTGTGTACCCCTTCCCCAAATGTCATATGGGCATGTGATGCATATGACAAAAGAAAGAAATGCACGTGAGTGTGTGAGTCACGACATTTTTGGAGATACATTTGAAGTGATATCGAGCGATTTTAAAAATTTTAATTTTTCAAAATTACATTAATTTTCTGCAATTTTTACGATGAGATGATAATTGAAATTTAGCGCAAACAAAATTGAATAGTGATTAGTGGAGAACTTGCCAAATTTTTTTGCTTATTCAATCTCTTTTTTATTTTATCTTTTCTAAAAAAACATTTATTCATTAAAAATTGGCATTTTCTTTTTTGCTTTAAAGTTCTATTTTTATTAATATAAAAATTCTAGTAATCAATACATATTAAATACTATTGTAAATATGATTAGTAGACATGAATTTTTACAAGGTTGTTTATTTAGGAGAGAAAAACAATATTTTTAAAAGGTTCTTAAATTAATGTGGCTTGATTTACTATATATATTTTTGTTTAGGACTTTTAATTGAAAAATGTGAAATTAACATTTATAGTTTCTTATTTTCAACATTTATTTTACTTTAAAAAAATTGTTGAATGTGATTAAAAAAAATAAACTCATTTTTATCCATCAAAATTTCTCAAATCTAATAAGTGATCCTAATTTTTTTAATAACTTTATAAAATACCTTTCATTAAATTTCATCAAGTTTAAAATTGAACGAAATAATTAAATTATTAAAAAAATTTTAAATCAAACTTTGATAGTACTTTAGTAGGACCATTTCAAAAGTCTGTGCAACCCACTTCGGAAAAAGTTTTTAAAGTTTCAAGCAAAGTGTTCATTCAAATATACAGAATATTAAATATATTGGGATTGAAAATGAAAGCAATTTTCCTTTTTTATTGTATAATATTTTACCATTTTATTCAAGGTTAATTCGAAAAAGAAATATAAAAGAAATATGCAAATGGCGATGTGTACTTAAGAGATTGTTCAGTTTTTCAATATATCTCCAAACTACAAAAACTAATTGTAAATATTTCTTAAGAATTCAGCGTATATGTAGTTGATGCATAAAAACTAACTTCTGTGAAAGTACTGAACAAAAATAATAACAAGTACAAAAAAACTAATTGCTCCAAAAAAATTTTTTTTTTTTTTGAAAGAATAAATTGGATATGTATTATAAATAATTTTTGTTGTTTAGGTTATTTACATGTTTCTTAATTTTGGGCAACTCTTTGTTGAGAAGTTTTGGCTGTGTTTTTTGTCACTTAGGGTTTTTTCCTAGTTTACCCTTAAATAATTAAACAAGGTGGTGACTCACACACATCACGTGTATTTCTTCTCATTCATCATATGCATCAATGCTTATGTGCTTTTGGGGAAGGGGTT